TCCTGTGTTCTACGTTATTGACCAGATAAATTATTATATACCATTTAAATTTCATGGAAATACTACCTATCTCTCCCTCACCTTTGTCTGAGATGGAGTCTTCATCAGTCTGGCGTATTGAGAGTCTATGATGAGCAGAATCCCCTTGTTGAAATGTTGCTAACCTAGTCTTCCAACTCTGTATGCCAGAATATTGGTCAAAGTAGTTGTTGATGGTTCCCCTATATTTGATTCCTATCTACAATAATATCTGAAAGAATCTGTAGTTTTTGACTTTGAGATTAAAGAAAATTAAGTTAGGAATGATTGAATTCAAGCCATTGAAATGTATGGAATAGGCTTGTACTCAAATTAACATAAGTACAGTTGTATATAATAAACTATGATGTGTCATGAAATTCTAAAACAAATGTCTAAATGTTGTGGACATGTGACCTCACACAGACACACACTCACACACATAGTGTATAGTTCATTGAGTGCTGACTTGGTGGTAGGCATTGTGCTAATCACTTTATAAATGAGATCTCATATTGTCTTCATAAGAAGTTGACATGATTTTCTTTTTAAAAAGGAAGAAACTGTGGGGCTGGCCCCGTGGCCGGATGGTTAAGTTCGCGAGCTCTGCTGCAGGCGGCCCGGTGTTTCGTCAGTTCGAATCCTGGGCGCGGACATGGCACTGCTCATCAGACCACGCTGAGGCAGCGTCCCACATGCCACAACTAGAAGAACCCACAACGAAGAATACACAACTATGTACCAGGGGGCTTTGGGGAGAAAAAGCAAAAAATAAAATCTTTAAAAAAAAAAAAAAAAGGAAGAAACTGTGTTCACAGAGGCTGAATTATTTAGCCAAGGTTGAGCTGGAATTTAAATACAGATCTTTATGCATTCAAGTCTGATCTTGCCAAAATGCACAGTGCCTTAGTATCTTCTTATCTTCCCCTGCATTTTTTATTTTGTTCATACTATCTGCTTGTAAGCTTCCTGTTATCAATGTCCCTATAAACAATCTCTGATGTGCACTTGGGCAGATTTATTTAAAGTCCAGGCATTATCAAGTACATCATCAAGGATGCTTGATTCACTCTAATCTGCTTAGTAAAATGCTTGCTCCTGGTTCCTAGTTATAATGAGATGCCTTTGCTTTCCATTTGTATGTGTCATCATAACTTGAACGTTTTGAGTTCCCTAGTCAGCTGTCCCAGGCATTCTGTTTCAAGCCTGAATTTTGTTGATAATACAGTGAAAGGAAATTTTAAAAATGTTTCTTTGGAAGGAAGAACAATTTAGGCACAGATGAA